CGCTGTGAGGGACCGGTGAGCGGAGCAAAACACACCTTTAGACCTAACACATTTAGCTATGGCACTGTCGTATACATTGAATTATTCCATTTGATAATATGTAATCAATTTAGGCACCCCTCCCAAAAAAAATTAAAATAATAATTACAATACAAATATTCATAACTCACATTCTCATATTCGAATACCTGAATAATGTCGAATATACGATGAATCGTTCCCATCCCTAGTATGTAACATGTACATACTGTATTTACTGTTATATGAAATGGCCTGATTAACTAAATAAAAGAACAGCCTTTATTGAGCGACTATCTTCATGTCATAATGGTAACTCACAATGGTAAACAGCAACACTACTAAGTGTTAAACCTTGACATCAATATATTGTGAATATAAAATCTTTATATCCCCTTTAAAAAAATACGCTCTATACATGAAACCCAACGAACAAGCACACAACTATGGTGCCTCCCTTGAACACTTGGAAGCTACTTCCACTTTATTCCTGCTGAAAAAATTCAGCTCTCATCTTTCATCCTAATCATCTTAACAATGCTCACAGTTTGATGGAAGTTGGCCCGTGTCCATTGGCAGGTAGAGAAACAATATGATGAGTGTAAAACACAATTTGTGATCCCAGCTTTGATCAGATTTGGGGCGAGTTTAAAAAAAAAAATGCTACAAGAACCATGCAAACATCTGGACCATGTCCCAGCATGGTTGGCTTGTATCTACATGGTGAACAGTGCTTAATTTAAATCTCTTTAATGCAAACAGATTGCAAATGCTGGTGTAGCCCTGAATGAATTAAAACGTCACATTACAGCTTGCTGTATATAACTAATTCTCGCCTGCCATCCATTACTCATGCAGGCATGCAAATAAAGCACTTAGAAGCAGAGTAATAGAAACAAAATGTCTTCGTCAAACAAAGGCCAAGCTTCTTCACACCGAGCATGCAGCTAGGTGGTGTCAGTTCCATCGGTGGGGAAGTTACAACAGCTTGGAGGCCTACTGTAGACAACTGAGAAAAAGAAAATGCTAAAAGAAAAAGGGGGAATTTCAGGCTTAAGCTAAAAAGGAAAAGGCACTGCGAAGTCTTGTCCTGCTGCATATGTACAGTGCACTGCATGCAGCGGTGAAAAAACAAGAAACTTTGTGATTTGTCTACAATGGAAGGAATGAGTGATAGATGTCACAGTGAGGTCACTAAGAGCTTTCTCCTCAGACGATGCAAAATTCATCCATAAATATTTGTGCTATGGTTCAAATCCATTTTCTTCTCATGAACACCATCAAAACGGGATGATTGTGAACATTTACTGGATTATATTTGCAGCAAAAGACAAGTTTTAGCTTCCTGGAATGTTTGCAGTGGACGACCAGGAAGTCATTTTCTGAGCTCATTACATTTTGGACAAAAACATTCTTTAAAAATAAATGATCTGACAACCACAACAAAGTACCAGAAGCTGTGCTCTCTCTTCTCTGATTCAGTACATCTCCAAACCTTAGGACGCCCTGAAGAAGCTTAAACCATCTTCTGGGTAAATCCAACCTACAGCTGTTATCATTCGATAAAAACTGAATGGGTAATCATTTGAATACGTTTGTACAATGAAGAGAGAAGATGCACCAGGTTGTCAGCTGCGTTCAGAGTGGGTTTATGTGAAGAAAGTCCCAGTGTGCTGGTTGTCAGTGTTTCAGTAGAACACAGATACTACATGCTGAGTAATGCGTCTGGTGTATTAATACATACTGCTGACTGGACAGGATGTCAAACTCATGAACAGAGAGATAGAGACAGCATCGCCCTGAAACCTCTCCAGTGTTTCTCGTTTTTTTTATTCAAAAGAAACACGTGTGTTGGTCTTCTCTGCTAAACTTGATTATGACAGAGCTAGGAGCGTTAACAATAACAGGTTAGATATCCATAACTTCAGCCTGATAATGACTAACACAAAAAACGGAGGAACATAGAATCTGAACGGCTCTAGCAGCACTTTGTCCTTGGCTTTTTGGTATCTGTGTGTACGGCATACTTCAATATGGATGGTTTGTGGTGTTTATACTGTATGTGGGATGCAACGGAATTTCCCTTCCACCACGTCTCTTCCGTGTCATGCTGGGTGGACCACCGGCCTGGGGGTTCACAGGTTATTGTGACTTTAGTGATCTCCCGGGATAGGGCCCATGGACAGAGCGTCCTCCTCGCTGATTGGGTCCAGCTCCTCGGTGTGGACAGCCTGAGTGATGAGCTGCAGCTCCTCAGCGAGGGTCTCGCTGCGGTACGCCACGCGGATGTCAGGGACGTTAGTACGCCGGATGTCGTTGCTCACAGGACCCTCGTCAAAGTAGGTGGGGCCCAACCAGTAGCTTTTGGCCTGAAATCAAGAAGAAATACATGAGTGGGTGCCTTGAGACAGTCAGTCAATCACGTGAGATTATGAGCCAAGCTAAAAGGTGTTAATATTTCAGTGTATTACGTTTTTAATATGTTCTCAAGTGAGAAAGTAAAAATATAGATTTCCAATATGTGTCTGTTCGGAAATTTGCCGCAGGAAAAGAAAAAGAAAACCTTGCTTAATTAATAACATAATTTATTTCATACAATGTGACCAACAGAATCAGAATCAAGTTTATTGCCAGGTAGGTTTACACATACAAAGAATTTGCTTTGGCATCTGGTTGTGCGAACAGAAAAGAAAAAAAAAAAGTTGCAAAGTAGGTAGAAAAAGAAAGAAATATATAAGGATAATAAAAAATAAGTATTTTTAACAAATGAACATTATAAACTTGATAAAAGGATCATATTAGGACAGGGCTGTTGTGTTGAATTGCATTAGTTTGTGCAGGTGAGTCTATGTCCTCTGTTGAAAAACACAAAATGAGAAGAGGTGTAAATTTCTTTACCTTGTGTGAAAACCCACTCATGAGGACACTGTTTCTGGCCAGCTCACACATGTCGCAGGAGCTTAGTTTCCACACCTGAGCAGCGATGCTGTACTCCTCCATCAGAGGCTCCTGGAGCCAGACAAGCACAGAGAGAGAGATGTCATATCAGCACTTCTGATCATCTGCATGCTATTTTTACCTAAAAGCCAAACCTGACTCAGACCGACCTTGGTGAAGTGGAACTGAAGAGGGTCGTCGGTGGACAGAGAGATCATGAGGCCTCTGGACAGATACTCCAGCAGCGGGTTGCGATGGTAACTGAGGAACAGGCTGTTGTTACTCAGTGGGGACATGGCGATGCCAATTTGAGCCAGGTAGTAAAGATACTGCAGCACCGGAGCCTAATGGATATCCAATAGAGAGAGAGCATGCCAAATGTAATCTCAAACCCTATATTTCACTTATTAAGCGAAGGCACAGTGTGACAGAATAGTTTGAATAGTTACTAAATAATCAAATCAGGAGCTCTCTGACAGCCTCAGGTCTTGAGGAAGCTGTTCTATGTCAGGGATAATAATAATAATAATAATAATACATGTTATTTATATAGCGCTTTCCATGGTGCTCAAAGCGATTTAAAAGCAGGTAAAGAAAAAAAACTAGCTAGGTGGAATACGGGCGAGGGTTTAGTGGATTAGGAGTTGAAGGAAAGAGTGAAAAGGAGTTTTGAGGGCTTTTTTTTAATAATGTGCTTTACTTCACTTAATTTAGGATCACCATGGTAATCACCACAAACATCTCATTTTTGACAATCCATAATATCAACAAAACCAAGAAAATACAATTCAGAGAAAGCTAGTAAGTCAACATGGTAGAACCAAGCATAACCACACTGGTCTCTATAGTTGGACCCGTCCTGACCTTTCTGAGCAGCAGACCGTGGGAGATGTTCTCTGATAACATGAAGCCTGACACCAGGTGGTGGACAGGCCCCGCCTCCCCACAGTGAGGTCGCAGGACGAACGTGTGGAAGCCTCTGCGCCTGTGTCAATCAAATATATTGACAAATTGAGTGGATGCAAGGCCTGGTCAATGATTTCTGGGTGTTATAAATGTATGGCAGTTCTATACCTTCGCAGGTGGTTGAGCGCAGTCATGTTAGCATAGGTGTAGTAGAGGTAGTAGGAGTAGGGCGGGTTGTCCTCTTCTGTCCAGTCAGCTGGCAGCGGACTGTCCAGGTTGAAGATGTGGTGCTCCGGTTTAGACTCATCGTCCACACTGTCGAAGCCCACCACCTGAGGACAAACATGCCACAAAAAGACAAAAGAGAATTGGTTAGTCTCTTTTAGTGTGAACTATCTGGATCGATTTCTTGTAAAGGGATACTCACGTGCTCCAGAAAGAGATGCAGCTCAGGATGACTGCGCGGGTTGATGCTGACTTCAAACAGAGGCATGAAGATATTCTCCAACATCTCCTCGAAATTTGCCAGCTGCTTCTTTGTCTTGTACACGTCACTGAAGAGGAGAACAGTGACATGTGTTGTTAGCATAGAGATGATTGTGTGTGAATTTTCTTTGTAAAGGCTAGGAGATATAATGTGTGCTGACACTAGTTAAGAAGGTTGTCCTTAACTTGTCTTATGATATGCATCTACTCTCTAATAAAGGGACGTGACCTCAGAAATGTTCCGACTAAAATTCCTTTGTCCTGGCTGTTACCGTTAAACACCTCAACCTGAAAGACTGACCACTTTATTTAGATTTTTTGCAACCAGTTTGCTACTGTACTTCAGACTACAGCATTTTATATATATATAATATTATGTAGCTGGTGCTGCTTTTAATTTAACTTATTTAGTGTACTGTGTTTTTATATAAATGTATTTTTAATGTGTTCTGTCTGGATGTGATTTGTCTAAAAGACAGCTTTCTGCATTTTGCTAGCGAAAAGTTGACATTATAAGCATTTTCTGTTTTAATTTAATTAGTTTTGGTAAAGAGAGTTAGAGCGAGTACTTACAAAAGACGAGGCACCTGGATGAGCCAGCGCACATTATCAGAGTAAACTCGATGTTTGAGGGCCCACTGAGCCAGCTTGTCCCATTCGTCCCGGCAGCGCCCGTAGATGGACAGGCGGAGCTCAGAGTTCTGGTACTTACTCTCCTCCAAGTCGTACATCACCTCCTGGATAGAGATGTCAATAAAGAAGTGTGTTTGTACATTGATAAATGGTTTGGATGAAGTGAATATTATCAATAATATGACATTTTTCACACCTTGACTATGTGTGCAAAGTATTTTCCTCCGATGTGGTTGTCAGTCTTGATGAAGATCTCTCTGAGGATGGATTCTCCGATGGGGTTGTATTTGGCGTTGAACTTGTCAAACCGATGGAATGTGTTACGATCCTGATAAGTAAACACAACCAGTCAAACATCGTTTTTGTCTTTACCAACGCTCATGCACCAGGAATGAAGTTAAAATATGTGAGGAGGAAGATTTCATTTTAATCTACATTTCTAAAATAAAGTCAAAATGAATGTAACAAAACTGCTGGAAATTAGTCGTGAATTGTCTTAGATCTAAAGTTAGACTTGAAATGTTCCTTATTCCTGCCAATACAACTCTTCAATAGTTACGCAATATCTCTTTGTACACAACCTTTAGTTAGATACTCTTTATTGCTGCTCCCACTTCTCACCGCATGCATGTCGAGAGTGTCCACGCTCAGGTCGAAGGCCGTCAGGTTCATGCTCTCGAACACCTCCTTCAGGGTCTGACCACGGCCGTGGTCCACGTGAACGATCTCCTCGGGATATTTCTTCATGGCTCTCTTGATGAATCGCAGCAGGTGCTTCTGGTTCATGCAGGACGATGCATGTATGTGTGTGTCCACCTGCGGTTAGGACAGAGAGGAATAGGTGAGAGGCAGATATGACCTCGGATCACATTCCTTGGGCTTGTTCAAAGAGTCTAAATGTGTATTTTGTTAATGCTTTCAACCCACAAGGGTCAATTGATGTAATCAGAATAGTAGTGATGCATTTAATATGTCATTCGTTGGCTCTTACCTTTCGTATGTTGTAGAAGTCTCTGTGGGGAACTTTCTTCTGAGCCGCCAGCTCCTTCATTTCATTCAGGAGGATGTGCATCTGGAATTTAGAGCTCAGGTACTGCAGGCGGCGGTAACAGAAAGACTTCCTGTAGACACCAAACAGATGAAACTAATTTAAAATAAAAACTGAGCATTTAACCTAGGGATGTCAGCATCGGGAAAGAAAATAAAAATCAGCGAAATCTAAAAAGGGAGCTTTTTTTAATTAGGTTTTCTTTTTATTAGATTTATTTTGAATGTGTAAAACAATAATACAAACATTTAACATGAGAATTATTATACAATACAAAATGAATCAGTGTCAAATTGATATACAAAAATATGACTAAATTATGTATAAACAAATAATCGACTTAATTAGACATCTGAAAAGGGGTGGGAAGAAGTTTACACTTATTTAATCCCACCCCTTCTCCCAAAAACTAAATTATATATATATTTTTTTTTTCTTAAAGAAATACATTCGTTATTGAAAAACCAAAAACCAATACAAAGCTTTGCATTTACTAAAGTGCTAAATTGACTCATTGAGCTTTAGTACTGCATCTCAAAGCATTATAGTCATTTCCCAAACACCTTCTTTTGAATTCACCCTCAGTGACACACACACGTTACGTTGAGCTCACTGCCTTAAAGCTCTGAAGCTTCCTACCAATGTCCATATTAAATGAGCCTGTACACCGACATGCTGTTTAAACATATTCCCTACCCGACGACAACCTGATTTTGTCCAATGATCTGTGTATAATACTGGTATTGAAAAACACTCACACTGGCCCGTTGATGATGAGGGACATCATCACATTCATGTCTCCAATGTACTCAGTCAGGTCAGGATAGGTCAGGTCCAGTTCTGTGCTTCTGTTGAAGGAGAACAGGTCCAAGTAAAACACAAGACTCACTATATGTTCACTCATTGTCCTTCAGGTACAACACATACTTGTCCATGTTGGTTTTCTTGGTGTATACATGGACTACTCCACCCACCATCTTGCAACCATAGCCTGTGTCTGTCGGCAAATACTTGGGGTCTTTGTCATAGGGGTGATTCTTTGAGACCGGTGGGTGCACAGGGGCATCTGGAAAAAGAGAAATTGATATTAGTAATGTCTTCCAAGCTACAAATAAATATCGTAAAATGATTAACAATGATGTGGAAACTGCTCAGACAAAACAAACACAGTGTGAGGGTTTTTAATCACATAGTGGTCCCTGGTGACCGCTGTGTTTACTTTTAATAATAAGATCTAGATTAGAATTTGGCAAGCTGAATAACAATACATTTAAATAAAAAAAGACAGCTGATGGTGTTTTCTCAATCACTTTTCGTCACTTGTTTTGCCCACAGGTTCAGGGTGTGGAGGAGGAGATTAGTTATGAAAGTTATTAACCTTCTTTCTGGCTTTTACTAGCTGACTCAATGTCAATGCACATTTATGTAGATTTATTTGAACGACTGTCAAACTTTTCAAGCTCTAACACAATTAAGACTGAAAGCGTCATCTTTATTTTCAATTTTCTATTGTTAGTGATAATCATTTTGACCCAGATAATCGTGAAAATCAAATGTTATGACTACAATCATTCATAAAACCATCCAACAATCGGATACAACAATCATCTTTGTAGAATTCAACAAAACCTTCAAACATGCAGCTCTGTCCTTTCTGAAATACACTTTCTAATTCCTAATCCCAACTGTGATAGAGGTTTTGATGTATGCATTAGTTACCGGCATCTACAGGAGTCTCTGCTATATCGTCGTAGTCGGCCAGATCCAGAGGCTTCATCCCCAGCTCCTGGAGGGAGTGAGCGGTGGTCTTACAAAAGTTCTGAATGGATCGCTTTATGTACTTCTCCCGGATAAACAGCGCCTTCACCACACACTTTGCAGCATCTACAAGGTCAACGAAGGGAACCTGGGAAGATATTGATACCCAGAAAATGAAAATGGGAACTTACTTTAATGGGGTTAAATTGATAATGAAAATTCAAACAAATCATATGAATAAAATGTCCCCACCCCGCACTTATCCTCTCCAGATATTGAAACTCGCTGGTACTCTCTTTCCAGTGGCAGCTCCCTCTTCTTAAAGCAATTATCAACATTGTCCAAACTCAGCTCCTGCATGAACCTTAAGATACAGAGAGAAACATGAGGGTTTTAAAAGGGGAGAAAGGTAAAATAAGTGAAGACACAAAGGAGTAGCAGGGACATCTCATACATTATTGTGATATGAAGATGAATTGATCTACAAAATAGCAAAAACCTTAATAATTTGCCCAACGAGCTGCACAATGACCAGGACTGTAAGAATGTGTCAGGGTTTAGGACATTTAATTAATAAGAGAGTTAATAAGAAAGCAATATAACAATATAACATTTCTACATCTTCCGAGTTACCAGCAGAGGGGAGATGTGGCCCATCTGAATACAGTATGCTGATGATATCTCAGTGGTTATGGATACATATTTTAAATGAGACAGTCATGTATGCTTATGGTAATAATCTATTAAAAAGCCTCCACGTAAGAGGTTACCATGCACATTTCTAGGAAAGCAAGAACAAAAATTGGCCCCTCTTTAGACCTTGCATTCAAATGTGTTTAGTGTTATTTGCTTGTAATCGGATAGTGCTCCTCAAACACATGAAATGACATCCATATATAACACAAGTTGAAAACAATTGTTCCATTTTCAATCAACATACAACAACTGGCAGCATTGGGCTCGAACATGTGTCGAGACAGATAACTAACAGCCCAGACCATCTCTATGCAGCAACAAGGGAAAAGCCTGTTAGAGAAATACAAAATAATCCCAGTGTAGCTCGGTGCTGTGTCAGCCTGGACGTTGAGGCAGAAAGTGCTAGTGCGACAGGAGACACATTACTATATGGTACTGTATATTGATACCAGTTAAAAATCTAACCAGGTTAAATCATATGTAGGTACAATCTGATACAAAACTGCTTTCAACGCCAAATGTGAATTGGGCCACAGAGAGGTACTGAAAGAAAATGAACCACCAACGAGAAAATCACTTCACAAAGCATGCATACTGAAGCGGTCTCACTCACTCTAGGTCTGCATCACTGTCGATTTTCATGAAGTCCTGTTTGGCGCGGAGCAAGATCTCGGGCTCGAGCCTTGGTTGATAAGCAGCGGCGCAGGACAGTGAGGGCAATGCAGAGAGGCAGTGAGAAGAATATATATGCACAAGCACACACACGCAAATGAGCATCCTCAAACACAGGTTTATATTTACATATGCACAAAAAGAATATTCTGCATTAAGTTTGAGGAGATTGGCACAATGAGAACACATCTTCAGCTAGTAGTGGCACACCCTCAGTGATAAACAGGGGCTAGCAGAGATGAGGTTCAGATAACAAAAAGCTCTGTGGTGCAGATACCATCAACCCCAAGAACAAGGACAGAACCCACCTCCTTATAAAAGTGTGTGTAAGAGAAGATTAACACCAGGACAGCTACAATCTGCTAGCTAGCCAAGTTGCTGGTTGCTGAAGCTGATAAACCTGTGTGCATTACTGAGTGTAAAAGGTGGGGGCAGGGGAGATCTCTTCCTGAAATAGTGGTATGAATTCATTTAACTAGATGTGTTTGTGCGTCTGCATTTCCTCACTTGATGTCCTGGCTGATTTGCCTCTCCAGGCGGTGCCGTCGTTCTTCCAGCTGCTCGATGGGGCTGTCCTCCGGAAACTCATATGGAGCGCTCCGCATCTCGCTATCTGCCATGCTGCGTGTGAACAGCTCCTTGTGCAAACATAGGTTGTACAATGTTATATGGCGTCATAAATTAAAACAGGTCAATTTTCACGGAACTACAGACATATTATGGACTCTAGGGTTTACACAAAACCACCTGCCATTTTGCGTTTCTTTTTCTGAAACATTTCTCACTCAACAGGATTACAACTACTTAACCATTTTTCATAGAAACGTGTAAAGGGAGAAAGAAAGAAGAACTCATAACATTAAGGAGCAGATACAAAAAAATATTTCCTTGCTGCATTCATGTGGTATCCAAATAACAGGTTCTGACTCGATCAATTTAAGAAAACGCTTCCTTAAAGTGGACCTATCATGCTATATTTGAAACATATATTGTAGGGCCATACCTATATAAAACATGTCTGTTTGGTATTTTTTTTCAAAATACCAAACAGTTCACCCATTGTAGTCATGCCTCATACTCCTCAAACCCCTCTTTTGAAGCCCTGTTAGAGAAACGTGGATCTTGGGTCCTTAGCTTGAAAAAAAGAAAAGAAGAGGAGGCGGAGCTAATGCCTGATCAGAATAGAGAGATAAAGTTAAATTAGGTTGTGATAAAACGCCATCCTGTTTAAACCATGTCAATGATTATTTCTGAAATAGTATGGAGCTCAAATGCTTTTTCTCTTGCGGGTTCATCACAAGGTGAGTTCTTTTTTTATGTCCTGCTTTTTAAAGATATGTGCTCTTCAGTACAGGTTAGCTCTGAGTGTTAGCAAGGCTTGCTAATGTAAACAAAGACGTCCAAAACACGTCAGGCATTGTTTCTGATAGCAACTTTCTGTGGGTCCGCTGCCGATTTGACGTCAGTTCGGATGGAATCTGTATCCGCTCGTTGTACACCCGTTTTTAAAAGATTTGGGTACGAAGGAGAGAGGGTTTTATTTTCTGACGCTGCGTGAGTTCCCCGATGCACCGGGGACACATATGTATGTCTAAAAGACATCACAAAGTGCATTTTGCATGATAGGTCCCCTTTAAGTCGGAACAACTACTCAAAAGCAGCTTTAAACACGCTTAAAGGAGATTGACAGAGGACGTGTGCAATTTCAGAAAGCCATTCTAGTTCCTATGTTTTTGTACACTTTAAGAAAATATTCTGGATTCCAACGGCAGGTGGTTAAATATACATTTTCAAATGAGTTAACTACTAACAACATGTTTCTAGCTAATTCAACATCCAAACATCAGCCAGTAACAGCTGATTAAAATATCTGAATGGCTGGAAATGAGCTGTATCTAAAAGACCTCGTGTGATCTGGTTGGCTTTGAATTCTTACCTCGGCAATCTCTTTGTACTTTTCCTCCATGGATGTTCGCAGGTCGATTGGGTAGTGTGTGAGAGAAGTGGATCTCTGGGGCTTCAGGGGCTTCACTCCAGATGCACCGCTCAGGTCTATGGGCAGAGACAGAGGAACGGTTTGTGATAGTTACACATCTTATGTTAAAAAAATTTTTTTTTATCTCCGGAGCCCAGTTTACGCAAAGATGATGACTTTGAGTTCTGCAGGGATGAGGGATTTTTGTAAGAAGTCAGAAGAATCAGAAACAGGTCGATTACCAGGTTAGGTTAACTCATACGAGGAATGTTACTTGGTGTTGTGGTACATACATAAAAATAAAACAAAAATTAAAAACACAGATAGAAAACTATAATAACATTGAATAGCAGTCCCTATAAGAGCATCCTCTTGGTTCCCTAAACCACAGCTAATGTGATTTTTCCATTTCATCTTGGAATATTGCACATATCAGCTTGACACTTACACATTTTGGTTTACAGATTTTTATTGTTTTCATCTACGCGCATGAAAAGGTTACATTTTCAGTAGGTTCCCTTTAGCCAGAGGTAATGACATTATCTTTCTGCAACTCGAGCCACGCAATGCAGAATCTATACTGATCCTCATGTTGCTTAGGAAATATCTTATTTAACAATGTTGTCTCTTTTGTTGGTTCCAGTAAGCTTTGTCTGTTGTAGAAAGAATGTATCCGTATTCTTTTTCAACAGACTGTGAAACAAACGTTTGTAGAGGGATTGGCATCAATGGCAGATTGTGTTGTACACTTTGACTATTTTGAGAATGCTAAGTACCCTATAAAGAAGTTATGTGTATGTTGTAGCGCTGACAGGAAAGGATTAACAATCCACAGAACCTCTCCACACACCAACATACATACAAGTGGGCTTTTCAAGTCTCAAAGGAGTCATAGTGTACAGCCAACTGCATACAGCATCATGTGCCATTGATGCCAATCTCTCTACAAACTAACAATTGTTCATCATTTCACAGTCTGTTGAAAACAGAGACACAAATATTGTTTGTAAAAACAGACAAAGCGAAGTACTACAATCGCAGACAATCACACTGATGTCACTCTCACACACAAACAAAGAAAGGCAATCAATGTTTTTTCAAGATTGAGCAATTTTTGTCTAAATAAAGTCCTTTGTTTCCTTCATACAGCAACATGAACACATAAGCCCATTTTTTTTGTGTCAACACTGAAGACATCACACAAAAAGACACTAGTGGCAAACATTCAGTCAGAAAATAAACAAATGCAAATAGCTCATAACTATGATTACCTCTGGAGAACTGTATGTCCAACAACAGAAGCCGGCTTAAGGAAAGACAGCTGTACCAATAGATACTGTGTCACTTAATCACACATGGGCATACACACAGTAAATAATTGCCCCAACCAGCAAGTACACACACACACACACACACACACACACACACACACACACACACACACACACACACACACACACACACACACACACACACACAATTAAATAAAAGTCAACAGTGTTTTCTACACAAAATAGCTTTGTCTGGAGACTGAGGGATACAGAAGAACATAATATGTACTGATCGTGTACTTTCTTAAGAATTTCACATTTAAAGGGTTCCAAAGTTATGCGCCCACACTGTAATTCACTACCTCGTAATAGGTCTATGGCTTTGGGAGTGGTGTGTTCACTCTCTTCTATAATTGGTTCTGTGTCTGGCCTGTGACAATTAGTCTCCGCCATCTGCTGTCTACCTACAAGGCTGTGGAGGATGGACAGAGGGACGCTCCACAGTATACTAATATGAGCATAAAACATTTCACTCAACTTTTAAAGGATGTGAGGTACAGCTTTCCAACGATCTGCTGACAATCAAATGATCAAGGACTTGTGTCATCAACAAATACTGTTAAAAACATTCATCATAATAGCTCAACCAATCAGGGTGTTTAATTATTTGTTTTCCTCCTCAGCCATTGTGGCAGGTCACTGGGCATTTCTACAAGTCACACAGTTTTTATTGCCTGCTTTTTCTCAAATATATGTAGGACTTTAGAAATCGCTAAGAACTGTAAACAAGCCAGTGCAAGTAGGCGTATGGACTTTGCCATGTAATCCTCATTAATGATTTGCTTTCAAACAGATTATTTCTAAACATAAGTAACACCTATATGCCATGGTGGCAGTTGACGAGACACTTTGACATGCCACAGTCAACATTGACCTGTATTTGGCAAATAGATGATCATATTATTACCTGCAACTAATATCAACCGGACCGATTCACCATATTATATAAAGAGTGCAAGATATTCAAATGTTTCAATAAACCAACAGGTGACTCCAAGCAGGCCTATAAACACACAAATAAACACAGTCACCCCCAGTAAAGTATCCATGTAATCCCCCCGGCCTGTCCACAACAGATGACTCATCCCCATCTCGATTTATCTCTGTGACATCATGGTAGTATAGGGCTAGGGTCCAAGGATAGAGCATGGTGTATTCTGTACAGAGAATCGTGATTGTGTAATTTGGTACTAAATAAACCGCATCTAACTGATAGTAAGTAGCAGAAACCTTGTGTACACACACACACACACACACACACACACACACACACACACACACACACACACACACACACACACACACACACACACACACACAAAAAACAAACTGTGTGAAACTGAGTAGTACTGTAAAAACAGATGAAAGCAGAAGAACGACAACTTTGAGAGTTATTCTGAGAGTTTTGGCTCGTATTCTGGTCTACACTGTGATGCCTAATTTGACATCCAAAACCAACCAAAAAAAACGAGAGACCACAGTCAAAACAACAACCGAGGCACAAGCAAGTTTATGATGAGCAAGTTAAAGAAAAAGGCTTGTATGCTGCATTCAGTTAATGGTAAATCTCAAAAGTCCAAAGAGTGAAAGGCAGGTCAAGGAAAAGGGTACTATTATTTCCTCATAACAGTTTTTCCTGACATGGTAAATACAAATGAATATCTTAGATGTCTGGGCCATGATTTAGTCCAACAATCAGAAAAAGTCTAAGACTCTGGGCTTGTCCTCGAGACAAATGTAATCTTTGCGACTCACTTGTTGTTGTATTTCTGTGAAGCCTCAATATAAGCCATTATGTTTTAGTTTGCAGTTTGGAGAAAAAGCAAATGTTCTGCTATACCTAATACCTGGTTATTGATATTGCAACAATATTGTAAGGTTGACCATTGGTGTTTTCACAATATACTGCATGTACTCATTGAGAGTTTTGAGAAATAATTATCAGTAATGTAGTTATAATGACTATTTAGGTAAAGGCAAATCATAGATCAGATACAACAGTGTGGTAAGTTCATTTATGTCAATCTATTGTAATGCAGCAAAATCTAGTATGATATACAAAATGTAAGACAATATATAGCATTCTATTGCAATATTGATATCATTTCAATACACATTGTCTAGCTATTTTAACAGTGTGGATTGAAAATGCCTCAAATGTAATTTTGAACCAATGCTAGCAAAGAATCTCCGCTTTTAGCCTAACTTCAAACACACCATTTACTGTGAGTGTGTCTTATCTTTTGTAGAGTGAAATTCCTCAACCTTTTTTTTCATGTTGCTATAGTGAGTTAATTACTTCGACAAGTAAGTAATAGTTACACATCCCTGGGACCTGAGTCTGCACACCGCCCACTATTCACTTTTTTTGCACCCCTAACAGAGACAGTGATCTAGAATCTGTGGAGCTGCTCTATACAGATCAATACACTCCTTCCAGCTCGTATCAGCTCCCTGTTCCTCAGGCTGGATGAAGCAGCAACGTACCAGAGAAGTCAAACAACACATTGTACAGTCGTGCCCTCAAAATAGTCCAAGACCAGATCCACCTACATCAATTTAACTTTAACCTTTTGTCCTATTTATGGGTATTTTGAAAATAAAAGGACTTTGTATGAAACACACTTCTAGTCACACAAGCATTCACACTGTATGAAAACGTCCTATCATAATAAACATTCATCTGCCAGTTTATTTCTACAATAATTCTACTTGACTGAATGGATGTAATATTATGTTAGTTAATGCTGACCACATTTCCAACTGCGTCACATTGGGCTGGAAACAGACCTTGTTGTTAAACAGCTATTCTCAGTGCAATGTCTAAGAGGTAGTGTTTCACCACAATAAATCCACCCAAGGTTTCTGGCACTTGGGTGAAAACATCTGGCCTTGCACGGCCTCTTCTGAACGGATTTAAACTTGTTATGCACACTGAACGTCAGAGATGGGAAAAGTACACATATCCTTTTCTCAAGTAGAAGTACAGATACTCGTGTTTAAAAATACTCTGGTAAAAGTAGAAGTACTGACTAAACTGTCTACTCAAGTAAAATTAAAGAAGTATGGGCTTCGAAATGTACTTAAGTAAAAAGTAACCATAACTACCAGCTGTTTTAAAGAGTAACTGACCTCCCTTTATATTAATAGAACAATAATTTCATTGTTAGCTAATGAATGTTTCGATGCTGAACAACGGCAGAATGACAAAGTTCTCATTGGTCCTTCTTCTTTGGAGAAGATCAGGAAATGATGGATGCACGGATTGTGTTAAAATCAATAGGCACGCAATGACTCTAAATAATAATGATCACGCCACCAAACACAGATTAAAACTAAAGTAACAAACCTGTTTTGAAAATGTAAGAAGTAGAAAGTACAGGTAGTTAAAAATGTAAGAAGTAAAAGTAAAAAGTCATCAGAAAAATAAGTAGTGGAATAAAGTACTGATACCAGAAAAATGTAATTAAGTACAATAACGAAGTATTTGTACTCCATTACTTCCCACCTCTGCTGAAAGTGTTGTGGTACTCCTATCTCCATTCTTTGCCACACCATGACACTAGAGCCAATTATATGTTGTTGACATTTGAACCAGTTAATGTCCAAAATTAATATCAGAAAATAAACTTTTATTTTAAATGTGTATTTAACAAGTTTCGGTTCGTTATAGATAAGATAAATGATGGATCTCGTTTTACTCCGATAACAACCTTTGATCTTTGTTGGATTCATGCTCCAGTGAC